ATTTCGCAAAATTGAAAATAATTTTCTATAATTGACACAAAAATATCAATAATAAGTTATTGTGTATTATATATAATGTTGTTTATTATAAATAAATAATAAGTTAATATTTAGACCATATTTTATTGCTTCTCAAACTTGTATTAGAAGTTTATTTATGATAAAAAACATGAAATATACAACATTTTACTAAATCCTGACATAAAAATATTAATGTTTGTAAATCTTTATATAAATCTTGATTTAAATCTTTAAATATATCTTTTCAATGTCTGACAAAATGCAATTAATTATAAAAATTAATGCATTGAATTGATTATTAGAGCATAATTTATACAATCGGCTAATCATTCATTCAATATATCTTCTAATGAACACAACAAACGCTTTAAAAATTACAATCATTTGTTTTATTATTTACTAGAATTACTGTATAGGTTAAACATTACCGTCTGTGTATGGTGATATTATTATTGAAATATTTTTAATTAATATTTTAAATATTAAGTTCAAAACTAATCCGATTTTTAATTTTTATATACAATAGTGTAAAATACAGCATAAATTTTTAAAATGTTTTTTTTACATATAATGGCAAAAGTGTAATAAACAGTTGATTGCGAAACAAACAAATTTATTTAAATAGTTTCAAAACAATTAAGAAAAGGAGTAATTATTTGGGTTTAAAAAACTAATAAAAAATAATTTTATAAAAGAAATAATAGACAATAATGAGTGTCAACACAACTATAACCCGCAAAACAAATATTCAAATGTGTGTTGAATTTTGATCTCTTATGCAAATAAAAGCAATAAATTTGTGGTAAAAAATGACGGAAAAAACACGAATTGATAAATTGAAGCTTAAGATTAAGTTTCGATTCATACAAAAAGTCATGACATCATGGGATCAGTCATCAGAAGCTTCAAAAATTCGGTATTTTTCGATGAATTTCTATTTTGTGACGAAAACTGTTTCGATATAATCTACTGAATAGTAATATTCAAGTTTTAAGGGATCAGTGTTTGTCAGACACACAGCTATTTCTCTTTTGGTTACCATTGGCTTCATATGTGTTTCAAGTGATGCCACTTTACGATAACATTATAGATAAATAACTTTTAAATATTTTCTTCCATTAGTTTTTGACTCCCATTTTAATTTCATTTTGGCTCTCATTTCAATGCAATTCTCTATACACACAATATATAAACACAATATACAGTATATATTTTGGGCAATAATGTTAATGTTACTAAAAAAGAGATTACGATTACTGTAAACCAGAAATTACTATAATTTTAAGTTCTCCTAAATCATCATTTTGTTCATCACTTTATATTAATGACTAGTTTTTCGATATATTAGACAAATATTTATTTACAAACAGAAATATATGATTATTCGTGTCCTGTGTTTAAGGAATATATAAATAATATATAAGTTTTGGAAAAATCAGGTTTCGATTCAACAAATCAAACAAAAAACCTATCAATTGTTGACATTCAATGAAATTATGATAAATTGCGGCAAAATTTGTCTGCTTTTGGTTATAAACACATTATATTATAATATATGTAAAAAATATAAGTACATGTGTTTTTGCAAAGAAATTATTTCAACACAACATCACTAATACTATTTAAATAAGTAAAAATTTCGGTCAATTCATGAAAAGGCAGTAAAACATTAAAATTCACACAAAAACACACTTTTCTTGCAAATAGACTGAAAATTGAATTCAGTTTTGGAAATTAAACAATGATTCATACATTTAATCGCATTTTCATTTCATATAATTTTATCACAAATTTCATAATGAAATGAATGAAATGCACAGACACTGCAATATTTGTGCCCATTTACTACATTAATATACTGTATATTATTCATACAAAGTATGTATTATTTAGGTATTAAATGATATTATATTCTTCGAAATACACAACAAGTCTAATAGTTATGTAAAATAATAATTGTTTTCAAAACATATAATGACTTTAAAATATAAAAGATAAGAGTTTTGTGACTTACATATGAATATTCTTCGTCAGGTAAAAGCGTTTAACACATCCAACAAAACACAAACCAAACAAACAGTTTTATGTATTGATATCGGTATAGAAAATATTGTTTAAATATTATATAACTAATTAATGTTTGGCCAAAAAATTGCAACCAAAGAGCGAGAATATGAGCAACAAATGAATGCTTTGCGAAATAAATCCCAATCCAAGAGAGAGTGTGTAATAGACGTGAGAGAGTAAGTGTTCTCGTCTGAGATGCTCTGCTCTGAGCCCACAATCGACTGGTTGTGAGTGTCTTCAGGAGAGGCAGTGATTGGTTTCTTTGCGTCAGAATTTCACGTCTCGTATGAACTGAAGAGAAGAGTAAAAGAATTCCAAACGGAACTGACGTCTAGTTTTTGGCTCAGAAGAGAAGAGCCCAACGATAGTACACTTCCAGAGAGTAATGTGTGATATAGTGAGCGATCTCTGTGTGTGTGTTGTAGTGAAACACTGGATGCCAGTGCTCTCAGCACTCGCTATACAGACAATTGTGTGCTTCAATACTATGGTATACTATGGCATACACTGTATGCGAGCGCACGTAAGGCGTGCCCCGTATTTCAACTCATTTTAAACAACAAATTAAAGTTTTTTCGACCACTAGTTGTTACTCTTTTCTCTCCCTATTTCTACTGTTTGAACATTTCATGCGAAAGAATATTTCATTGACTTTTCAAATCCAAACTCAATAATAGCTTTAATATTCGTAACCACTGTTTCGGTAACTTTATTGTCCGACAAACCTATTGTCTTAATAGTCACTATAAATGCAAACTCTGTTATGAATTATTAAAAACTTTTTGTCATATGAGAGAGAAATTGTCGATCATTTTGTTGTTGTTTGACAATAGATATGGAAATTGAATGTTAAATGTTATAATAGTTTAGATGTTTGTGTGATTCATAACAATTGATTCGCTCATCACATCTATGGGTAGACAACAGATGAGAAATACATAACAACTTGTTTTTTCGGCATTCAATTCAATTGAATTTTTTATGGGAAAGCATTTTGAGTTGAAAAAAGTTGACACAAAGCTATTAAAGGTCTACACATATGTGGTTTGACTACTATTTCACTACATCCCAGGCCTTTGCCTTCTCTGCAATTTCGTAATCAGTTTTTACTTTTTTTTAACTTAAAAATATTGATATCATAGCAGAGATAGAAATGAAGATAAGTTTGCAAACAAAAAATACATACAAACTCTGTGTATGTATTGCATAGCATAGAGCGAAGTGTATTTCAACATTTAAATGTAATTTTCTGTTATGTATATGGAGTGCAGAGATGTGCTCAAGACATGGCATGAAAATGTATTTTAAGTTTGTTTTCTTGGTTTCGAAATAGAGTTTACGTAATGGGCTCCGGCTGTTTGCAAACTTATCTTCATTTCTATCTCTGCTATGATATCAATATTTTTAAGTTAAAAAAAANGAGAGAGAGAGAGAGAGAGAGAGAGAGAGAGAGAGAGAGAGAGCTCCGGCTGTTTGTTGATACGGTAAGTATAGTTCACATTCAACACTATATTTCACACCAATATCTTGTATACCGTATTTCACACACAAAAAAATGATATCTATTTTTATCAATAGTGTACTCCCAGTATTGTACACATTATGTGTCAGTACACTGTACTGCGAAATACAGTACAGAATAATTAGTTGTTTTAAAATATATGTTAAAAATTAATAGTTTACAAAAATGCCAAAAATTATACACCAAATGTTTGATAACAGCACACAATGTATTAACTATTTAATCGCTAAATAGATATACATTTGAAATATACTTTAATTACTGCCTAAAAGCGTATTTAGTATAACATATTTTTATAATTAAAATCATTTACTTTTTATGACACAAAAAGATTAAATTATTTTCTTTAAATAAACGCCATTTAGAGTTAAATGAGTTAATTTAATGTCAATATTTGGAAATAAATTATAGAATATTAATAATAAAAATGATAAGATTTAAATAAAGTGTATTTTTATATTGTAAAGCATTCATAATATACAGTAATCTTGTAATAAAAACAAATTACAAACTTTTTTACATTTAAACACAACTAAACTGATAATAACTAAATTTGAATGACTTTTGATTAGACCCTCATTTAGTACAATATATTTGTTGATAAAAACTAATTAATAATTTGGAAGAAATCTAAATACAGTATATTTGAAAATCTTATGAAATCATTAGTTAAGAGCTATTTTGGGCTTATATTTCATAACGAATTTCATTTTTATGATACATATATTTAAATATAATTTTTTCATTGAATTCTACGTAAAATTTATGGCAAAATATATTTTCCATTAATAAATCAAAAATATAATAAACTTTTAGCCGAAAACAAAATAACTCATTAATAATAATGGCATAAAAATTGTCAATTTATTTAAATAATCGCAAAAATAGTTTACAAAATAAATGTTAATTTATTGGAAAAATTGTTTATTAAAACATGATTTAAATGTAAATTAAATTCAACCTTAAATCCAATGCTTAAGCAATGAATGCATTGGAAATTAAACAGCATTTCGTCACACAATTTATGTGCATTTTGTGCGCTTTTTCGCAACTTTTGGCCATAAATTACGTCACGATTTGAATAGTGTTTACGTTTTGGTTGTGTTTGTATTGAAAGACAATTAAATTACGGCAAAAAACATGTGATTTTTGGATTGATTTTCAAATTTCAATCTCTTTTTGAGTGAAATTAGTTTTGTTTCCGTATTTTGCGCTCATTTTTGTCACAACTCTTTGAAATGTAAGTCAAGTTTTGGTTGAAATTAAAACTCATTTCAAATAACACTTGAATTGAAATTAGATTTCATTTGTTTTGTTTGTTTTCTCCATTCAATTGATTCATTGTTTCGTCACTTTTTGAACATCTCTTCAGTGGTTATAATCACACGAAATGGAAGTGAAGACCACCAGAGATGACGCGAATGAAGACAAATCACACCATAAGACCAATGCCAAGAAGAAGAAGACGAAAGACAAGAAACGGTTAATGACTTTACTTCGGGGACCAAAACGTGACCATAAATTGTCTTATTGTATGACTGAAGAGGAATCCAATGACTTTAAACAAACGTTTACTCATATAATGGATGAAAACTCTTGCCTTAAATTACATCCGAAGACTCCAAAGGGCGGCACAACTGTTGAAACCAAGAGTCAAACGACAAGTGATTTGAAACTGAAGAATGATATGATTTTTGGGATCAATTCAGTGATTCGCTCGATTGAGAAGAACTGTATTAATGGTGTGATTCTTAACAATCCATTAGCGCTTCCATTAGTCGATAATATAATGGAGTTGTGTTCAGACCATCACATCCCGTGCCTCACTGTCCACTCATTAGACCAATTGAAGACATCATTAAATATTTCTTCGTTGTCTGCCATCGGTTTTAAGCCAAATATCGCTTCAAATGAATCCATATTTTATAGATTATATCAATTCATTAATAATCTTATTCTTAAGAATTGTTCTCCGATTGAATCAAATGAAAGACAAGTGAAAACCGAAGACAAAGAGGGAAACGACAAAAGTTGTGAAGAAAGCAATAATTTAGAGCCAAATAAAAGTGAATTAACTTTCGATAAAAAACTTTTGGATATTTTATATTCAAAGAAAAGTGACGACAATTACCAGAAAATAATGGCAAAACATTTGGACACTAAGAGTGTGTCAGACAATACCTCAACAGTGGATGATATCTCACTCCAAGAGTCGTTCCTTAGTTTTTCGGCTCCAAAAGAGTCATATTTTCCAGAAATTAATGCATTCAACAAAACGTTTAAAATTGAGATCATTTTAGATGAGAAGCAAACCAAAGGAAGCGACGATTCTTTCGCTAAAAGTCTCTTTGATTCCAACGATGAAAGCGATAAAAAAGGATCGAAACGAAAGTTAAGCCAAGAGAAGGCTTACGATTCACTTGACTTTAAAAGTCCTCAAATCGTTAGACTCGAGGCATCGACTGATAGAAGACAACAAAGAAATAAAAGAAAACAAACGAAAAAATTCAAAAATAAATAATCTTTTGGATTAATCTGTTTAATATTAAATTGAATGAGAGAGTGAGTGAGTGAGTGAGAGAGAGAGAGAGATTTAATTAAATGGCAAAATGTGACTATTTGTGATTTGTTGGGTTTGTATGAAAACTGATTTAAACTTTTAAGACTACAACACAATACGATTTCAACGATGTTTAGTGTTGTCTTTGTTGTTGACTCGTTGTTATATCTTATAACTTATGTCACATTTGCCTTATTTTTAGTTTTCGTCTAATTTTGTTTATAATAATTGGAATACATTTTATATCAATATTTATAAAATTTTAAATAAAATATATCTTTAGTAGACTATAAAGTCTAATACTAACAGAATATTTATTTCAATCCATTTTTAAGACAAATATTTATACAAAGAAAATAAGTAAAACATTTAAAGTTTTGCAGAATCGGAGAAATAATATATAAATGTTTAGCAATCGTTTAATAATTAATTTCATTAAAAGGATTGAAACTTAATTTGAGGTAATAATCGTTAATCCATTTCATAATTATAGTAATCTCTTGATTGCGAGCGTCTCTGAGCGCCGGCGGATCGTTAGGACCGACAGGTCTGAGGTCTTCGTGATGGCAGGCGTTGGGTATTTGTATAGCGATCAGCGATGGAGACACTGTTTGCAGAACTCCTCCCGCACTCCACGGATCCCGCAATCCATTGCTGAATATAATATTAGTTGCGGTCGTTATATGTTTGCCGCCAAACAATACCAGCGCTTTCTCTCCGTCAGACTTTACGCCATAATTCTTATAACAATTATCGGAATATTTAGTTATATTCCACTCATTCTTCTCAAACATATCGGTCTCGCCATTAGAACAGACGGGAAGAACCATTTCGGTGCACGCCTTGTGTTCACATCATTTTCATTATAACTATTATTAGATTATCAGACAATTAATTGGCAAAAAATACCTGAAAACTCCAGCCGTCGGTCCCCAAGTCCTGCGCTTCAACACTAATATCATTGCATTTCGCACTTCCCGTGTAATTATAGTAAACTGAGGCCGCATTGTATATGTCTTGTATCAATTGCTTGTCGTTTTGGTCCGGATTTGTCAGTCGTTTGCACGTCTCCTGTTATATATCATATTTACTATAAATATAGTCTTAAATATCACTTTTATTTATAGCTTATGTCACATAAAGTGCAAAAATATTTATATTTTATGTGGTATTGAGTGATGTTTTGACAGCAAAAATGTGTTGACATGGGATTAACCGGTCGTTTAGTTTATGATTTACGATATATTCACCAATAAAACTAAACAATTGACAAAATTGTCACAAACTTGAATCCATGCCATTTTTATGTCGTTATATTTATATCATATACAGTATATTATTATTAAAGAATTTCGTTATTTCAAACTTATACATGAAATTCTTGAGATTCATAACAGTGACAAATAATCAAAGATTTGATTATTAAAACAACTAAAAAAATACAATACTTGTTGGCATTCGCTTCTAAAATCAAGAATGCCATCCATTCCTAGTATTATAGAATCTATAATTACATTCTAACACTGATCATACAATTTATGTGTAAAATATCATTTAAAACAGTATTTACCGTAACATTTCGTGTATTAGGTTTTTACTGTTTTGTGATTAATTAATAGTCATATTTATACTTAAAACAATTATAATTTCTATTGATTTGATTAAAAATTTAAGTTCTTACTTCATTGTTAAAAAAAGAATAGACTTTTTTTTATAGATAATGCACGGAATTTTACGGTAAATTTAATTTGTATAAAACAATCAATTGTTCAATAAATAACTTACTTTAATAGGGAAGGCGGGGAGGGGTTGTAGGAATGAGGCGTTGTTCGGGTAGTCAATCATCGCCAGGTTCTCCCACGTCGACGACAACCAAGTAATGAAGTCCTGATCCTGAGTGTCGGCCAATGGTTTACACAAAACAAAAGTATCGCTCAACCATTTGCGGCCATCGCTCGACGCCAGGAGCCGTCGGACGGCGGGCCACGAGTTTCGTATACTTTGCGAACATTTGTCCGAATATTGTTTGAAATCATTGGTAACGATATTGAAGTAGTCGTTGCAGTTGTAAAGGCCGGGGAACTGAAGTATAGGTGCGCTCGCAGCCAATGCTCTGAGTTTTTTTTAAATCAAATAGAATTTCATCGAAAAATACGGAAAATATTAATATAATATGGTAACTAATGAACCGTCAAACAACTGCAAAACTTACCCAATAGTCAAATGTGGATATTTAATACGGAACCAAGCGGCCAACATGCCTGTCCATGACAACAATTTACAATACAACTTTCAATCGCTATTACAAACCTCCATAACTGCCACCAAATACAACAACGGGGCTGTTGTGTGCGCCCGGAATAGTCTCTTTGATATACTGAATAAATTCTGCGAAATCAGCCAAAGCCTGTTCAGTGGTCAGGTATCCCAAATGAGTTAAATTCTGAAATATAATAAAGATTAGACATGTATTTTACAAAATTAAATCTATTGTTTTGTAAACCCTATCGAGTTTTCCATAAGGAATAGATTGACCGTAATATCGGTGTTCGGCGAACAGAATCATAGCTTGAAATCGTTGAGCGTTTTGCCACATAAAACCTGTGTTATTGGCAAACATGAATATATCGCCCTCATTGCCCGCATACAAAAATATTGGACACCCTTCACCCCAGTGGTCGGTCGATATGATATAGCGTTGATTGTATCGGTCATTATTCACATAACTAAAGTGGTCCACCTTTTGGCACAATTTATTATTTTAATTAAACTCTTATCATACTTATATTGAATTAATATAATTGTAAACATATAATCATTTGAATGTCAATCATACCCGTTGTGAATACCACTTAACGGAGAAATTTGCCGGAATCGGTGTATTAATGGATCGGTAGTGATGTTTACCTCGAAGTGCATAACACCTCTCAATACAGACGATTGTAATGAAAACAATTAATAATTTCATTTTAATGTTACTAATGTTGTGATATTTGTATGTTTAGTACACGAGTGCTTTTAAATTGTGTAAATTATAAACGTATTGAACATTCAATAATAAAGAAAAATAAATAAAATCTAATAACGAATAAAAATTGATATTTAGTAAAACGATAACTCAATCTCATTAGAAGAGATAGTGAGGCAGTGATTTGTAAACTGGGTATAAATTTATATTATTTACCAAAACAGTCTTATCTTAAATTTACAAAGTTTTTATATAAATAAAAATAAGACATATAAATATCAATTTTGATGAACTGATAAATAGATTTATTCGTATGAATTACTTTTAATTAAAATAATTTAAAGAATAAAAATTTTACAATAAGAGATAAATGATCTCAGTTAATACATCTTAATCTTGTGCTGTGTGTGTAATAAATTACCAATACTTTATAATTGTAAATAAATTTATACTGTAGTAAATTTAATGTTTTCTATTTATTCAGCTAAAGTTTACATGTTTAACAGTTGTTAATGTCATTCATACAGTATTTGATCAAATTCTTGTTAATTGTGCTTTCTCAATGTTGTTTTCAAAAACAACAAATCTGAATATTAAATTATATTGATAACAAATATTGTTTCACATAAAAATAAAAGTTTTATAATTTATAAATCAAAGTTTAACAAACTCTTGAAAGTCAGGCCCGACTTTCTAAACATTGTGTACACAATTGTTTGCCAAAACACTTTAAATCATCTTAAACCGCGTTAAACATGATATACAATATATTGGATTAAAATCAGTGATAAATAAATGACAAATTACTAAAATTTTCAACGACTTTTAAATAGTTGTAAAAATACAGTAATTTATTTAAAAATAGTTACTAATTTAATTATCAGGATGATACGATAGTTTGAATCAATGTGAATTTATTTCTATTGTTTAAAATTTATGTGATTAAATGACCATAATTATAGACCAGTAAATTATATTTACAAAAGCTTAAAATAAAAACTTTTTAATAATAAAAACTCTTTTATTTATCAAATTAGATAAAACTATATTAAAGTTTACATTTGCTTCAATGTTATCATTTTATTCGTAAAATTATGGCATAAATAACATTATTTAAAAGTCTTAACTGAAAATTTAAATATTTTTATAAAATAAGTTTAAAATAAATATTAAAATGAATGAAATTTATTGATTATCCGTCAAATTCTAGCCTAATTCGGGGCAAATTAAACACTCGTCGAAAGTATTGGTACACATCATCCAAAGCCGGTGGAATGTCCTGAAGATTAAACTCATTTCTATTATTTCTCAGGTCTTCAAAAAATTTTCTCAATCCAGAGTCGGGTGCTATGTATTCGAGTCCTTCAATTGTGTTGTAGTTAAAGCCATCATTAATTTGAGTGACCGGTCGGTCGGTTGTAGTGCTTGTTGTGGCCATAGTTGTAGTCGTTGTCGTTACAGCCATTGTAGTCGGCAATAGATGAGACACTTCATCGTTAAAATGGTGATCCGGTTTGACAATAATCTCCGTTTGAGGATTGGATTCAAACAAATCTAGCGATAGATTGCGATCGACTAAAGGCTCGGCAGTAAATCGATGCTCGAAATCATTTAAAACAATTTCCTCTTCTCTCAGATAGAAAGCACTAAATATGGTTAGAATGAGTCCAATGAAGAACATTAGTGTCAAAAGTGCCAAAACCAGTGACACTCCTCTTGTGATCCTAATCTTCCTGAGGATGACGTGTCGATGCGCTCTATTGATGGCATTATCGGCGCAATACTCATCCACCGGACGGCTCTCCAGTTCTCCATTAATGGACGCCTTTTCCACATCAAAGTAGACATTGATATCAACGGTCTGTCTGTCGGACACCACCTCTTCTTCGGGTATCATTTGTTCGCACTTTAGATTTTTGTCACTATTTTTCTCATTTACTTCTCTAATACTTTCGTAGATATTTTCGTTAATTGTTGTCATTTTTAATATAATTTTGTTAGGAATTAATGACAGAGATATAAATTGAAGGCAATTTTGTTTAGCGTTTTTCTCACACAAAGAAATCAATAGGAAATTAAAACAAAAACGATTGAAATAAAGAAATGAATCGAAAGTATGATATCTATAGACAAAAAGTACTGTTGCCTTAAAAACAGGTCTCAAATAGTTGTTAATCGCATTTTATAATCAAATGATTGGACATATGAATGGGGAAGAGGTGGACGATGTATAGCATACAAGGGGTCAGTAAATCAGGTGAAGACTCCTTTTGGACGAAAGGAGAAAAAATATGCAAAAAGTCCAGATATAAAGACGAGAGTAGAGTTCAACTCAATTCTCACGAGATTTAGTCTACAGTTTCGTCATTTCCTATACATTTTTGGAGGAATTTTGTCGATATTTTGTGAAAACGTCTTTTCCCACAATTCTAGACTATCTCTCACTCACTCTCTCATTGATTAGTGAATATTGAGTGCAACACATCTACTCTATTATAAACATGGATTTGTAAACACTTCTAACACTAGACGTGTGAATAACTTAAAACAATATTAAAAACTTTGCTAACTTTATGTTAACTATACTGTAGTGTATTTTGGGATCAAATTACGGTATTTCTCGTACAGCGGAAAGTTATCTTCAAATTTTTATTAACAATTAAACGTTTTGTTATTTTATTTTTTGTTTGTTTTAATATTAATGACAATTAAGCATTAAAATTATTGTTAATAAAAATTAAACCCTCGCACGTCTATCAGAGGTTTACAATGTTTAATTTATTTCAAATGTCAACTGATTCTATGGCAATAGTTTATCATAAGGCTATTGATTTTTCTCAAATGTTAAATATATGGGATAACACTAATCAATGATTAGTAATCATATGGATAATTACATACAACATATGGACAGTCATTATCATTGGCACAGAAAGAAAGAAAGAAAGAAAGAAAGAGAGAGAGAGATACAAGCACTACAACCGACCGACCGGTCACTCAAATTAATGATGGCTTTAACTACAACACAATTGAAGGACTCGAATACATAGCACCCGACTCTGGATTGAGAGAGAGAGAGAGAGAGAGAGAGAAATTTGTTATTACCTACAGTACAGACCAATACTTGTATTCATATACTATTACATGTATATTAGACATTATATAGTGTGATGGACCCTCACTCCCACCCGACCTCCTAATAGGATGTGTGACATTATACAAGACACTTGTGGACACAATAGTGCCCCAAACCGTGGTTGACGCGTGATTCACGTGACACGTTGTGTTCCCAAAATGTCATCACTACTTTGTAACTTCTCTACTATTGTGAACAAATAGACTGATAATCTTATTACTTAAGTAAATAGACACAAGTGTTGTAAGATTTGTTGGGAAATACAATAAAAATAATTTTGATGAGAAATAGCCCCAAAAATGGACTCATGTGTTGAGTGGAACCCCCTTACCCTCAATGAACTGAAAACCCCCTCTGACTGCTGACTGACGAGGAATGCCGAGTCTGTTGTCCCCAAACTCTGGTATATATTGACCCCAAACTACAGAATAGCCTAATCTATGAATTTGCAGAAAAAATAGTTATGAATTCATAAATAAATGTGAAAATTAAGTCACAGAACGTTTCGATGCGATCGATATATACATATAATCCAATAGTATATTCTGTAATATTAGGGATCAATTGTTGAGATTTTGGTCACACATGTGAATGTCTTTCGTCCAAACGTCTCACACATACACACAGACAGGTGTTCAGTGCTTTTTGAGAATTCCGGTGCCGCACAACACCACACAATCCCTACAATCACTCGTTTCCGGTGTTTTTGCTTTAAAACTTTTAAAGGGAAAGAAAAAGTTGAAACTCTAGTTTAGTTTAGTTCTCATTGAATAGCGGCGGACAGAGAGCGCAGCGCACAATACATACCACCAAATGGTCTGCGCTTTTGAGGCAAAAACCAGTCGTTCTCCTCGTTCTCATCGCTCCTTCACTTCATTCACTCATACGGTTTACGGCTCACAATGAATGTGCAACGACTCTACACTACCAACACTTGTCTTATGTTTCGCCGAGTATAGTATATACACTACTCTAACGAATGTTTCACAACAAACAAAATAAAAGTTTATCGTATTGTCAGTTCATTCAGTTTATTGTTGTTGATTGTAATTTATTAATTTTTCAAAATCAAAACATATCTCTCATTGACTCTCCGATAAAATCGGAGTAAAAGTTTTGTGCTATTGATTTGTGCGAAGACTTTACTAAAAATGAAGTTTTCAAGAACTTTGACTACAAAACGTGAATACAATCTTCTGGTGACTGTCATCATAGCAATCACTCTCTCGGGTAAGTCTTAAGTCTTCATAAGTTATACGTCGAGTTGTAATCATAAGTTTTAAAAGTTTTTTAAAACTTATTTTTATCAAACATTGAATTAAAACACTTGATTGTCAAGGAATAGGGTTTGGCTGAAACCCCTTTAGCTCTTACAGTTTGACAGCCAATCCTTTTCACTGAAATTCGCTTTTATTAATAACTAATTTGTGTTCACAAAATGCTTTAAATAATGAAATTAATAATAATTTTAATGTATTATCCGAAATATTCGTAAATATAGCAACAGGTTTTGCTACAAATAATAATTTGGCCAAAATATTTCATATTTCTTATGTAAAAATGTTAGAAAACTTATACACAAATGGTTGGAAAGTTTTATTTTGTGAGTAGAAATGTATTGAATAAGTTATAAGTAATAACAATAATATGCGGTAAGGATTGAAAGGCCCGTAGCCTTGAATTTGGTTGAAGAATACATCGAACCAAAAGTCAATGAGTGAAACATTTATTCAGTTTTTTGTTTGAAGTTAATTATGATATAAGTTTTGATTCGCACATCCTTTGAATCGGCGATCAACCGATAATACAGTAATACAGAAGTAAACCATTAAATTAATACTAAATATAGCGAAAGGAAGTGATTTTAAGGCATATGAATCTGTTAATCACTCTTCTCTACCAATAATTCATAGGTTTTTCTAGTAATAAACATTAGTTTAC